AGAGTGTCTGACTTAGAGGAAGTTGTACAATCCTCAGTCAACGAGGATTTATATTTATCAGATACCACCAGCACTGGGGCATTTGAAGCTGAAACAAGTGACACTGAGTAACCATCATGGCTCACAATCTAAGCATTCTGCAGTGGAACATCTACAGCTATAAAAGCAAGAACTCCTTTCTCCAGTCAACAGTGCGAGCAAGGAGCATTGACGTCATCATGCTCCAGGAGACACTATGGGATCTGTGCACTTCTCAGGATATCGATCCTTCACCACTCCAAACCTGGATGGTGCTAGAGGCCTGATGACCCTGGTAAAAGAAGCAATCTCGTGCTCCTTAATAGCCAATCTGCTGCACTGTGGAGATGGTGTTAAATCTCTTACTGTTGAGATTCAGCTGCCTAGGAGTCCTTAAAAAATATATAATGTATATAGCAAACCACAGTGTGAGAGCTTAGATTTAAACCAGGTCTGTGCTACCGCAGCACAAGACCGAATGATCATAGGGGGAGACTTCAATGCACACATATCCATGCTGAATCCCCGCAAAAGGCCGAATGCGGAAGGCATTCATATAGCAGAAGTGCTTGAGACATTCTCTGAGATCGCTCTTCTCAACACCAATGAACCAACGCATGTGAGGGGAGGGGTCCTAGACCTTACCTTTGCCACAGCAACAATGGTGGAGAGAATTCGGTGGTGTGTCGATGATATGGTTACTAGTGATCACTACGGCATAGTCACCACCCTAATGGATGCAGGTTCAGCCCAAAGACCATATCACATTCCTATATGGAAAACAGACAAGGCCAACTGGTTTGCCTTCCAGGAAAGCTTGGCTCGATGTCTGAAAGACAATGAACCCAACAATAATGAAAATGTGAATGTGCTAGAGGCAAGGCTAATCCAGGCCATAAATCAGGCAGCCTCACAAACCATCCCCAAAACTCGCCCATGGTCCAGAACTCACAAAGACGCCTGGTACTATAATGACGAGATGAAAGAGGTCAACCACAGTATTAATATGTGCAGAAAAAAATTCCGATGGCAAAGAACTCCTGACAATCTGGCCCTGTTTAGGGAAACTGTTGTGGATGCCAAGGAAACTGCCAACAGAGTAAGGCAGGAAAAATGGCTGGAATGGTGCCAGACTTTTGGAAACCAGACCAGTCTTAAAAAGTTGTGGAAACGGGTCAGGCAAGCGACAAGCCGCCAAGTCCCAAAATGCACTCATCATGATCCACAGTCAGAGGCTGACAGATTGGTGCTTGAGTTCTTAGCTAGAACCAGGAACAACAACCTGCCTCTAATGAGGGAAAAACAAAACAAATCCAGGAAGACTTACTCTCATCACAGACAAGGCACTCGAATCCGATGACACGGATGCCTTGTTCTCTCTTGGGGAACTAAGAAAGTCATAGAAAACCAACTCTGGATCAACACCGGGATTTGATGGGATCTCCCATCCCATCATTTTGCACTTAGGCTTGGCAGGAGAACTTGCATTCTTGCAGGTTATCAACAAGTCCTGGCAAACCGCCACGGTGCCCCAGAGCTGGAAACAAGCCACAATAGTTCCCATACCAAAACCAAAGGAGCCTGGCAAGTACCATCCCATCTCGCTTCTCAGCTGCCTGGGTAAAACAGCTGAAAAGATAGTACTCAACAGGCTCCGATGGAGGATGGGACCCCCTCATGAACACCTGCACGGGTTCATAAAGGGTAAGAGCACTGCACACAGCATTTCCACACTCTTAAGCACAATCTGCACCTCGCCTGCCGTGGTTGTCTTCCTAGACCTGGAGAAGGCTTTTGAACTGGCAAGTCCGCTTGCCATTCAAGAGACCCTAATCCACAAAGGAGTCAAAGGCAGACTCTTGGCCTGGATAGCTATTTTAAAAATAGGTTAGCAAATGTCAGATTTCAAGGCCACCTCTTGTAGCACATGCCACTTGAAAATGGAACTCCTCTGGGAGGGGCTCTCAGTCCAGCCCTGTTTAATACCCTCATGTCCAACATACTCGACATTCACCTGCCAGAGGGATGCAAGATCATCTCTTATGCTGATGACTTGGCAATCATAGCCTCTGGCAATCACTGCCTAACTAGAGCTCAGCGTTGTCTGAACCTGGTGTCTGAAGAGTGTTGTAGGATGGGTCTAAAAATATCGGCAGCAAAATCCATAGCAATGCTCTGAGAACTAATGTCAGAAACAAAAAAGTCACTGTGCAGGGTATGGATCTGGAATGGGTCAAGGACTACCTATACCTTGGTGTATGGATAGGACACACTCACTTTCAAAAAGGAGATCCAATACCTGCTTGACAGAACCAAGGAAAGACTGTCAGTCATGAAAGTCATGACAGGGAGACACATAGGAGCAGGACACAAAGTACTAAGATCATTCTATGTACACGCTGTCCGTCCTATTATTGACTATGCATCTGTCGCCCTCATTGCTTCCAGTACAACATTAAAAGAAAAACTGGAAACAATACAAAACGAAGCAGCCAGGATCATTCTAGGTGCACCTAAGTGGACAAAGGTCATCAACCTCCTCATGGAAATTGATTTACCGTCCATGGACGGCAGAATTGATCTAATGGCAGCACAGTTCCTTTCCA